TAAATTGAATGACATTGCAACACTATAACAGTCTTTTATGCTCCATACTTCTGTTTGATACGGTTTGAGGGCTACTAGGGCTGAACCTCATAAAGAAAAAGGAAAGATGTTAGCTGCCAAAAGTATCCAGCTTGGATTTTTATATAATTCCCATTCGTAAAAGTCTGTGAAAAAGCCATAACAACCTCAGAGATACTAAAACTCTTGGCCGAACCAAAGAGCCTGCAGTCAGAAAGCCTTTCTGTCGACTCAAATTAAAGAAGTGCACTATCAGTCCTGATGAAGGAGAAACAATTGCAGGAATTGATTACAGAATATGCAATCACACAAAGTATATCATAGCCATTATTTCAGAGGTGGATGCTATTGACTGGACAGAATTACATTTGTATTAAAAGGCCAGTTGTCAGCCAAGATAATATACCAGTAGGTGTGCAGAGATAGCAGAATAGAGTGCCAGATTTACAACCTATATAGTATTCCGGCTCAAACTGACAGATTTAAAGGCAAGCTGGAATATTCTTAAATGAGTCTACAAATATTGGCTTGTGCTAACTCATTCTCTGTCTAATACATATTCTCCCCTGCAGTATTCATAACCAAAACATATGTCCATTCTTGGTCATATTCTCTGTTTTAACTAACTTTAAATAGTCATCTAATCCAACCCTGCCAACTTCCTCTCTCCTGTGTGTGTGTGTGTGTGTGTGTGTGTGTGTGTGTGTGTGTGTGTGTGTGTGTGTGTGTGTGTGTGTGTGTGTGTGTGTGAGAGAGTGTCAGAAGTCACTTACAGTCGCCCTCCATTGCTCCTAATGAGGAGCTGCAGGAGGCATGTCATTCTATTAACCTCATCAGCAACGCTCCCTCTCTGTAACACACCCACACACACACCCACACACACACACACAACACACACACACACACACACACACACAACACACACACACACACACACACACACACACACACACACACACACACACACACACACACACACACACACACACACACACACACACACACACACACACACACACACACACACACACACACACACACACACACACACACACCACAGGATTGGTGCTCAGATGCATTTACAGAAATAAGAACCTGCAGGGCGGCCATGCGTGACCGATGACACATCACACGCACACACACACACACACTTATTTTGACGGCTGAATCATTCACTCCTTCAAACAGAAATATTGCACTATAATAAATGTCTTGTCGGCCATTATTTAAATCCATTTGTGTGACATTTTCAGTGTCTTTGGAACTGTTGGGCTCCAAACACACTACATTTAAAATAACTTCCTCTGGGTTTGACTAATCTGAGGCTGACGGTTAGCCCTCTCCAAAAACAGCAAAAAGTGTATTTCTTGGCTCACAAAGCTTTGATCACACTCTGTGACTCAACATACAGAAATCCAGTTCAAAAGAAGCTGATAGGAACTGACTGTGGCCTCAACAGACTAGAATGCAATGCAACCACATGGCATGTCAATTTTTATGTGACATGCATGAATCACTCCGACACCAACTTAATGTATAACCCACAGGTGGATGCAACTGAATGCTAACGGTAAACAAGTAACTGGATGAAATCAGAAACTGTGAGGGTCCTCAATCGGACAAAATTGAGTTTCAAATGAGAAGACAGAATAATAATGCAGGCACAAATGTCTCAACCTGCTGAGCATCTGCTGCAACAGGACTTTAACTCTTAGTGGTAACCATACACATATCTAAAGATACAAAAACAGATGGTGTTTGCTGTTATAACAAATGGTTTTATTCCTGGAAACAAAAGGCCTAAAAATCAGGGACTATATTTGACTTGTACTTAATCTTCTTCTGTGCTGTGTGACCCACTCTGGGGCCTGACTTGTTTTTATATTCCGCTTCTTATTCAAATGTGTCATCCGGAAGAGCTTTTAGGTTTAAGCCATCTGGAGATTTTTACCATTTCTCACATCCTCCTCTTGTGGTTCAAGTCCTAGCGTGGCGCTGCCCTTTCTGTCCCCTGATTTCACATTCACCTCTCTGTGACTGTAGGTAAGCTTCAGGCGTTTTTATGTTTCTGCATGCCTGGGCGCTTCTGTAGGCCTATATCTGTGCGGTAAAAAAATGTGTGTGTGTCCCTCAAGTAAAGGCTCCAAAAGGTCTGAAAACAATGAGCAATCTCAGAATATCTGTCACCCTCTCATTATTTTTCTCAAATTCAGTCGACAGCCAGCTGATCAAACCAAGCGGAAGGAGATGTACTGTACATTTCTAGAGGCTTTGTAAATCACATACACAACCAAACACACATACAGCTCAAGTAACATTGACTTCTCTTCTACACCTATAGTAAATACAAATGCTGAGTGTTAAAAGCCTCCAAGTGAAACATCTATTGTCTTTGTGTTTTACTGCAGTCCGTATCTCCTGCAGGAAACTCATCTCTCATCCTCTTTATTTTTCCTTTTTTATCTTTTTCTCCTCTTGGCCTTGGTCTCTTTTTTGTTATTCTTTCCTTCTATTTTCTCTTTGCCACTTATTTCGTTTTTCTCTTTCTTCTCCCATCTTCGTTTCTCTGCGAGTATGCTGTTTGCTCTGAAGTCATGTAAAGTTATTTCCTCTTCTCACTTTCCCTGTTTTCTAAACAGTACTTCTCCACAGTGCATCATATTCTGCTGTACTCTTATTGCCAACCCTCCCGATTTTCGCGGGAGACTCCCGATTTCATAGCCCTCTCCCGGTTTCCTCCCGGGGTCATATTTCTCCCGCATTTCTCCCGATTTCTGACAAAATCAGATTTACTCAGGACTGTTTCCACTCGGACTTTAATGCAGCTACACCATTGTTTGGTTTCCATGGTAACGCGTCTCTGTAGTAGCGCGGGCAACTGAAAGTCCCGCGGTGGTTTTGAAATGCTCCCGATTTCTGAGGTCTCAAGGTTGGCAAGACCATATAATAAGTATGTGTTATTCAATCATCTAGATTAAAATAAAATGTCAGTAACGTTCTATTTTTACTTGAAGTGAAGTCATAGAGGTTTCTCTAAGAGGGCACATGACTCTCTTCTACTGTTGCATCATTTACAAGCTCTCTTTGCCACTGGGGGTCTTTTTAAAAGTCTTCCCAGTGAAGATTTGTTGAAGATATTCTAATGAATATTTCAACGATACATTTGATGGCTCTTTGGTTTCAGGATGGATGATGAGAGAACAACACATAAAAGTCTACCACGCTAGCAGCTCAGGCTGTATGTGAGCTGATGCTAATATTAGCACGCTAACATGCAGACAATGACAAAACACATGCTGGCATTCTTCATGGATGCTCTTTTAACAGTGTAAAAGTTGTGTATTAGAGCTCAATTATAATGTAAGAATGCTAATATAACCCCACTGACATAGCAAATATGCTGATATTTATCAGGGATAATGTTTAACAGCTTCCCATCCGAGTATACAATGTTAGCATGCTATGAATTGATTATTAGCACGTTTGAATGTCATTTGTTTTTTCTGCTATATAGTCTTACTTGCAAGCTTACAATTTTGACCTGGTATAGGATTATATATATACAACTTTATATCTCAACAAAAACCATCACCCCCACAACACACTCCCCTCTCACCAACTGTCTCACACGGAGTGTCTGTGGACTGCGTGGTAGTGTGGGGAAGCGGATGGAGGTCTGGACGACGGTGTAGTGTGGGGAAGGGGGATGGAGTGTCTGGGACGACGGTGTAGTGTGGGGGAAGGGGGGAGGAGTGTCTGGACGGACGGTGGTAGTGTGGGGAAGGGGGATGGAGTGTTCTGATGACGTGGTGGTGTGGGGAAGATGGAAGTGTCTGGACGACGTGGTAGTGTGGGGAAGGGGGATGGAGTGTCTGGACGACGTGGTAAGTGTGGGGGATAGGGACGGATAGAGTGTCTGGACGAACGTGGGTGGTGGGGAAGGGGGGATGGAGAGTGTCTGTGACTGGGGACGTGGTAGTGTGGGGAAGGGGGGATGGAGTGTCTGGACGACGTGGTAAGTGTGGGGAAAGGGCGGGAGGAGTGTCTGGACGACCTGGTAGTGTGGGGAAGGGGTATGGAGTGTCTGGACGACGGGTAGTGTGGGAAGGGGGATGGAGTGTCTGAACGACGTGGTAGTGTGGGAAGGGGGGAATGGAGTGTCTGGACCGACGTGGTAGTGTGGGGGAAGGGGGCGGATGGAGTGTCGGACGACGTGGTAGTGTGGGGAAGGGGGGATGGAGTGTCGGACTACGTGGTAGTGTGGGGAAGGGGGATGGAGTGTCTGGACGACGTGGTAGGGTGGGGTAAGGGCGACGGAGTCGAGTAGTCTTCGGTTGGAGGATAGGTAGGGGTGGCGTGGTTAGTGGCCTGGACCACCCGGCCCCTGTCTCCGGAAGAGGCGAGCGACGGGGGAGGGAAGACCCTTGAGTGAGGGTTTTTGGGTGGTCTCTGGCGTGTCCAGGCTTGGCTGAGTGGTGGAAGTTTTTGAGTGTTTTTTGAGTGGAGAAGCTTAGACCGAAAAAGTACACACTAACAAATAACATAGTAAACTGAGATTGAAATTGAGATATACATAAAAAACAAGAAAGAAAAGAAAAAAAAAGAAAAGTGATATAGAACATTTCACGAAACTCGTTGACGTCTCGACGATTAGAAACTCGTGGACAAGTCTTTCCCGCGATTCGTTTTATTCCAGATACTTATATATAATCACTATCCACAATCCTATACAAATCCATTCCCAGTTTCCTGACGTTATTTTTAGTAAATGTTAAGTAAAAGCACCTCTGTACTTGACACACATTGTGTTTCGTTTAGTTTTGTTGTTTGAGTGTGATTGTATGAATGTGTAAGTTGTTGGTGATGGTTAACAATAATTACTAGATAATATTCATTACATCTTTTTCAAAGTGTTGCTGAAGATAGGGTTACAACAACTCTATAAGGATAGGACTTGATTATCACTTCCCCCTTAGTCCTTAATGACACGGTCGTGGAGGGGATTCAGCTTCACTCTCACGATACGTTCCAGACACTCCAGTCCCCCCTTCACCTACCCGTCGGTTCCAGACACCTCCATCCCCTCCAACACTACCAGTCGTCAGACACTCCATACCCCTTCCCACAACTACAGGTCGTTCAGAACACTCCATCCCCCTTCCACACTACCACGTCGTCCAGACACTCCCATCCCCTTCACACTACCACGGTCGTCGCACCCCACCCCCCTTCCCACACCCACCCGTCGTACACCAGGACATCATCCCCTTCCCCACACTACCACGCGTCAACGCACTCATTCCCCTTCCCACACACCACCAGTCGTCAGACACTCCATCCCCCTTCCCACCACCACCGTCATCCAGACACTCCATACCCCCTTCCCACACTACCGTCGTCAGACACTCCATCCTTCCACACTACCACGTCGGTCCCAGACACTCCATCCCCCTTCCCACATACCACGGTCCAGGGCGGATCCCCTCACACTACCCCACGTCGTCCAGAAACTCCATCCCCCTTCCCCAGACTACACCGCCGTCCAGCACTCCATCCCCCTTCCACACCAACCACGTCGTCGTCCAGACACCCACCCCTTCAACCACCACGTCGGGTCAGACACCTCTCCATTTCCCACACCACCACGTCGTCAGACACCCTCCATCCCCCTTTCCACACCACTAACGGTCGTCAGACACTCATACCCCCCTTCCCAACAACAACGTCGTCCAGCCTGCATCCACTGTCGCAGACCACACGTCCCGTCAGACGACTCATTCCTGGAGGTGAGGGTTCGGTAGTCTCTGCGCGTCGACTGTGAGATGGTGCGAGTTGCGTCCCAGGAGTGTTATGTTTCTACACACCACGTCGCTTGTCGAGACAGTTCATGACCGACTACGTCAGTCCAGACTCCCATACTCAAAAACATAACTCCGAAACCACCATTAGTCCTCCTGAAGATTACGACTAGGACACTGCCTGCCCCGCGGTCGACGCTCAAGCATCCTAGTAACAGTACAAAAAGGCCCTCGCACACCACTACTCCGCCCGTCGTCTGCAATACCTATACAACCTCAAATACTCCTCGAACCTACAATACGGCATCCTACGAATAACCGTCATCAGCTCAGCACTACACTACCTTACCGTACTCTAGTCTCAAAGTCATTACGTCAGTGCTCCTCTGACACTACGCCCGCACTCTGTGCCGTTACAAAATCTCCCTTTTTCCGCCCAAGAGCGCGAGCGACACAACTACAGCATAGAATTCACAGAACGAACGTCACCCCACCAGCGTTAAACTCAACTGAGGCTCCAACGCTACACTCCCCCTCTATCTCACACCCGACAGTTACCACTTCAACTTTAAGACCTACCGACCAACTACCCTACGCTCGGCTACTACTACTACCAGACCTAAACCGTGACAAGTCGAACCTCTATCAAACAAACGTAACGGTACGAGAATAAAACTCTCNCCACTCTCGCTAATAAACGCTTGATGTTAGGCTTGTGTTTCGTAAAGGTAAAAATGCTTCATATCTTCTGATAGCCTTCTACTCATAAAAAAACAACAACATGAGTTGTTGTTTTTTTATGAGTAGAAGGCTATCAGAAGATATGAAGCATTTTTACCTTTACGAAACACAAGCCTAACATCAAGCGTTTATTAGCGAGAGTGGGTAATATTTCTACCATAGAATATGCAGCGATCCTCGCGCTGTTGATTTAGCGCGTAAACATAAACATGACGTGTTGCTATAGCAACGGCTTTTGTCTACTGCTGTTCCTATAGATAGAGAGAGAGATAGATAGATAGATGGATAGATATATATATATAGATATATAGATAGATAGAGAGATAGACAGATAGATAGTTATAGATAGATAGAGAGAGAGATAGAGATATATACCTAAACAAAACACAAGTCTAACAACAAGCATTTAAATCAGCACTGTAGCGATATTTTATAGTTCATGCTATCTGTACAAACTATATAATATGAAAAGCTGAAAGTCCACAGATTATATTGGTATACATATCATCCCTGTGCGATCAAAACTCACTGTTCTGTATGGTACATTACCTTGGAAATCAATAGCGGGTAAACTTTACCCGTTGGCGGTTTTAGGTATACAGTGACCTCTGGCGGTTCTAGTGTTAATAAGGGCTATACAAGTGTTCTGGTAGTTTATTTAGTTTAAAAAAAATTATCCAACGATTTACCGACCACTCTTTCCCCATGTAAGTCAATGGGAAAAA